TCTCTCTCTCTCTCTCTCTCTCTCTCTCTCTCTCTCTCTCTCTCTCTCTTGTAGGCAACCATGAGTTCTAGCCAGCCTGAACCTGGTGCCTGGGAACCCCAAAGTCCCCGCCCACAGCCCCTGTCCCAGAGTTCTTCCAGCTTGCTGTGTGAAGGCCGTGAGCAGAGACCGGAGCTGCGCAAGAGCGCCAGCAGCACTGTATGGCAGGCGCAGCCGGGAGAGGCCAGCACGAGTCCCCGGACTCCGGAGGAAGAGGGGTGCCAGACGGAGAGCGTGGAACAAGCACAGGCTCCGAGCCCTTGGTCACAGGGTGGTGCTGGAGGCCACTGGAGAAGCAGGACTGTCGGTAACGTGTCTACCATGGGCATCAGCGACCTGTGTCGCCTGCGGGCCCCCAGCATGGCAGCTGTGCAGAGGAGCCACTCAGACTTGGTCCACAGCACCCAGACCCGGGGTCGTGGCGGTGCTCAGAAGGCCAGTCTCAGTTGTTCTGCCCTTGGCAGCTCACCTGTCCAGAGGGCTCAGCTGCAGCCTGGGAGTGTTGCTGGCCCAGATGGCCAGACTCCTGCAGTCCTGCAGAGTGACCTGACCCCGGAGGATGTGGCTTCTAAATCAGCCCTCGTGTTGGGGGAGAGTCAGGTGTTGGTGCCAACTGTAGAACTGGAAGGCACAACTGGTCTCATCAGCAGTCCCCAGGGTGGACCCAAAGCGACTGGACAGTCATCTACCACTTCCTGCCAGGCTCTGCCCCCAGCTGCTCTGCTCTGCAGGATGAGAGAGGCTACATCTGGCGGCTGCTGCCATGCTCTGCCCGCTACCGGCATCTTGGCCTTTCCCAAATTGGTAGCATCCGTGAGTGAGTCTGGGCTGCAGGCTCAGTGTGGGATGAAATTCCACTGTAAGTTGCCTGGGGGGGTTTCTGGGCACCCTCACTGCTGTGTCCACCCTTGGGGGCCTACAGGGCTAGCCACAGAATCTGGTTCCAGGACCAAAGATGTGTGGACCATGACCTCAGCCACTGACTTGGCCTTGAGTGTGGCCTCAGCCCAGGATGCTGGGGTTCAGGTAGCTCCAGTGGCAGCCTGCAAGGCTGTGGCAACCAGCCCGTCCCTGGAAGCACCTGAGACTCTGAACATGTTTCCAGAGGTAATGCTGGGGTCCAGCCTGGAAGAAGCATCATCGCCCGTGAGGGACGTGCGATGGGATGCTGAGGGCATGACATGGGAGGTGTATGGGGCCTCAGTGGACCCTGAGGTGCTTGGCATTGCCATCCAGAAGCACCTGGAGATGCAGTTTGAGCAGCTGCAGCAGGCACCAGCCAGCGAGGACAGTCTATCTACAGAGGGCCGCCGGGGCCCCCTGCGGGCCGTCATGCAGTCGCTGAGGCGCCCCAGCTGCTGTGGCTGCTCAGGAGCTGCTCCAGAATGAGGAACTGTGACCCCGAAGCAGGCCTGGACTCTAGACTTGATCCCAGACCAGTGACAGGCACAGCGAAGACTCGGTGTCACCAGAACCCACCCTCTCACTTGCACACCAGCCTTGGGCTTGCGGTTCCATGCAGCTGGGCTGTCTTTTAAGGGCTTGATTCCCAAGAGCCACCTCTCCATGCTGGCCTCTGGACTTGGGACAGGGATTTTGCATTGCACATCAGTGAAATCCCGGTTTCTTTCCTGTAAAAGTACTTAACCTTTTGTTTAGTCCATCCGCAGAACTTGCTGTTACTCCCCCAGGAGTCTCGGTGGTTTTATTTTTAATAGCATTGCTAGGAAATAATGAATTTTTACATTACGCAGGAGGCCCAGGTGGCAGGGATGCCTTGGTCCTAAGAGAACTGACGTCGTTGGAGGCCCCTGCCTGCCATGTACTGTGCTTGTCACCTACCTTGTTGTGGTGTCTCCTCTTTACTGCTCTTCTCAGATGTCACAGCAGAAGTCTGGCAAGGATCTAGCTAATGTGCTCTGTGGTAGACAATGCAAAATAGTACGGAAGGCTTAGAGCTAGGGCTAAGTTGAGCCCTGGTGCTGGCTTGAGACATCTACCTAGGCCTGCTCAGTGTAGCTGGGGACAGGAAGAACAAATTGAATGCCCGTTGTCTGCCAGGTTCTGTGGGTTTGTGAGGAATGAGACGCAGTCACTGTTCAAGGAGTGCAGGGACCAGAGCATTACAGAAGAGCCACGTGTGTCACTTGGAGGGGGTTTCCACAAGTCTGTCTCTGCAGGACACTGTATCAGGTTCCCTGCCTCAGGAAGTGGAGAACAAGTAGCCATCTTTCCCCAGATGTGTGTCAGTGCTTGAAAGGGTGTCTTTCTCACCCTACTCTTCTGGATTTTATCCTAGCTGGTGCAGTTCTTCTGGGAGGGAGCTGGCTGGGGGTTGGGGGGCTGGGCTTGGGGTTCCCACCAGGTAGGAAATAGCTAGAGCCGAGAGGCTCAGGATGTCGGGATTAGCAATGGCCTAGCGTGGGCTGGTCAGTGAGGAGAGGGGGCACAGGGCCTTAGCTGGCTTCTCAAGGCCCAGGCGGATTGCAGTAGTCTGTTGAAGATCCTAGACACCTGAGATAGAGCCCCTCAGATAGTTCCAGCGTTACGCAGACGCAGGGCCTCAGATTTGGCTATGTTCATGTAGGATTGAAGCTGCAATAAGTTGTGCACCAGGGGCTGAAGCCACTCCTGGGATCCTGGAGCTTGAAAGATGGTTTATCTGCCCCATCTGCAAGGTCCGGGCACTCACTGAAATAGGGAAAAGTCTGCAACATGGCTTACGGTTTGGGGTAGGAATGGCATGTCAGTGGGTCAAAGAAACAAGGCAAGACAGGCTGGCTTTCTAGGTGAGAAACCTCAGTTTTATAGGTACTATGCCTTTCCCAGGGAGCAAGCACATCCTTTAAAGTCCTGGGCGTGTGTGAATAGTTGTGTGATACAAGGCAAGTACTTTGTGTTCTCGGGTATGGCATGCGGTCACTCTGTCTCCTTCATACATGGGTACCAGCAGCCCAACCTTGGAGCCTAGATGGGAATGAGCAGATCATTTTGGGGACATGGGGCAATGTCATCTTCACACAGGGCCATAGCCAAGAAGGCTGTTGACACAGAGGGCTTGGGCAGGTGGACGGAGTGGGGGGAGCTTGGAGATATCCGTTCTGTTGAAATATGGTGAGCCACTGTTGGGCTGGTAGCTTTGGATGTTCATCATCAGCTGGGAGGCTAGCTTGGGTGCCTGAGATAATCATTACAGAATCTGTAGAAGGTGGGGCAAGATTCCCAATCCATGTATATGAGTCTGTTCAGTGAGAAGTCGAGGAGGCTGAGATCCTTTCATTTGGGACAGGAGGACAGTGGGGCCACTTTCTGGGACAAGCAAGGGTGGGTGGGCAGGCTCCCGAGGTTCATGTGAAGGGAAACTGACCACAGGGCTTGGCTGGTGACAGTGAAACCCACTGCATGAAGACCTCTGCCACATACAGATTTCAAGTTCATTGTTGGGCAGACTGTGCCAACCTGCAATTCCCATGCTGCACCTGGTACCAAGATGAAGGCCAGGTGGCCCACTGGGGTCAGAACAGACCAGCCAGCCACCTGCTTAGCTTCATCCTGATTGTTAAACATTTGTACAATGGTGCTAGAACCCAGTGCAGCCTGTGTGTTGGTTGGAACTCTTATAACGCCCACTGGCTCATCTCTACAGTTCCTGTTCTCAGGCATGCCTGTGGCACCTGTGATTTAGTTTCTGAACTGGACCCATTCCCACTCCCTTACTGGGCCCCCTCCTGGGTAAGGCCTGATTTGGGTACTGGACCAGGGGCTGTTGAACATGGTCACTGACTTTCCTTATAGACAACTGCTCTTGGATTCTTGATTTCTGGCTGGACATTTGGGGTCCCATTTGGAGGTGGTAGAACTTGCTGTCTATGTTTGTCTAATTTTGAATTAAAAATAAATACAAGTTGAGAGATCAGAGCTTTGCCAGGCCTTGGCAGAATTGGGGCATTGGGCATGGCTAGTCTTGTTTCCTTTGTTCTGGTAAATTCTGTCCTCTGAGGCATAAGCCCCAGAATTCAAGGGCTCTGTCTGTGTTCTGGTAGGTTTCCTCCCTCTGTGCTCTGGGACCACCACCTCCTGTCTATTTGTTCTCCTTCTAAGGAACTTGGAGTCTTGAACAGCTGAAGTCTGGCTTCCTGGACTTTACCCCCTGCCTGTAGGTAACACACAAGGAGTAGAAGCCTTGTCTGGTTCCAGGCTGCATCGTGATCTTAGGGAACCACTTCAAATATAGGCTCTTTGCCTGCTGGTGGTCACAGTGCTGGGGAGGGTGGGAAGTAGAGAGAGGTCCTCTTCCACTGTGATGTCACCTGTTCAAGCCTCTGTGCCCTGGATATCTTAGATGTTTATGAGAGTGGCTGACGTGGGGCTTCCCCATGCAGGTTCTGATGATTTGCACTTGGGGTAGGCCAACCTCGCCTAGGAGTCTAGGGCTGGAGACTGGACTCTGGATTCACACTGATGTTTATAAAATCTTGGTCAAGACACCAGCCCTGAAGACCTGAAACTTCTTCAGCTCTAAAATGGAGTGGTCACAGTACTTCATCTTTGGCTCATGGGAATGGAGCTGCATAACCCATGTCAGGCACCTACCTCCAGTTAGTGCTGGGCTCACACACTGGCATTACGCAGTGTTTCACGGCCACGGGACAGGGCTAGTAGCTCTTTGCTGCTGGCTTGGCTGCTTCTGTAGCCCATAGCCTATTCCCTTGACCTTTTTCCTTCAGCCTCATCTCAGGTTCTGCACCCCCAGTTTTGTGCCCTGTATAGGACATGTGCCTTCTGGCTGGGAGCCTTTGAATCAGTTCCTAGAGCCACACGGGGGAGGAGATTGCTCCCTACTTGTCTGTGGAGGTGAGGAGAATAAGGTAGAGGGGGACAGAAGCCAGCGAGAACACGCCTTTAGGTCAATCCAGACCGAAAGCAGAACTCTGGATCTCCCAGGGTGGACGGTAGACCCCAGTTGCTTTAGCTCTTGGGTATTCAGGCTTGGAAGCTCCGGGAGCCTTGAGGAAGGTCTCTAGAGGGAGCCCTAGGGTCTGTACTCACAGGCAGGGTGCATTTGTGCCTGCATCTGCCCATCACCCAGTGCACACAGCCTGGAGTCCACATGTTGCCCAGGCCTTTCCTCTGGATTCTGCTGTGCTGATGGACCTGCCAGGTGACCTTGATTAAAGGGGAAGCTTGGCATCTGTCAGTGTTGAAATCATTCTCGTTTGTCATTTTGGTCTGGCCCAGTTTGGTCATTTGAAGCTATGACTAGTCCTTTATGAGTTTCCATCCAACTTGTCAGGCAGGGTACGGCCACTGTGGAGTCTGGAGTGTGTGGAGACCAGTCTGGATCAGTCTGGTCTGGTTGAGACCCGTCTGGACCGGTCGAGACTTGTCCATACAAGTTTGGTCTGGTTGAGACAGGTTTGGACTGGTCTGGTCTGGTTGAGACGGGTCTGGACTGGTCAAGACCGGTCTGGACTAGTCTGTTCCGGTCGATACTGCTCTGGTCCGGTCAAGACTGATCTGGTCTGGTAGAATCCGGTCAAGAGCAGTCTGCTCCTGTCTAGCCCGGTCGAGTTCGGTCTTGTCCGGGCTTGTCTGGTCTGGACTGGTCTGGATGAGAATATTCTTGTCTGGTACAGTCTTGTCTAGTCTATTCCGGTTGAGACCAGCTTGGTCTGGTCTGGACCGGTCGAGACTGGTCTGGACCAGTCTGACACACATGGCGCACACACAGCGCACACCCGACAAACACATGACACATGACACACACATGACGCACACATGGCACACACATGATAAACACATGACACACACGGCACAAAGAGGGCACACATGACAAACACGCGACACACATGGCACACACATGACACACACGACAAACGCATGGCACACACGACCAACACGACAAACACTTGACATGTGCATGACAAACGCATGACAAACACATGAAAAACACATGACAAATGCATGGCACACATGGCACACATACAGCACACATATGACAGGCACGTGACACAAACGATGCACACATAACACACATGACGCAACATGACAGCACATGACGCACAACACATGACAAATATATGGCGCACGTGGCACATGTGATGCATATATGACAACACATGGAGTACACATGACAAACACATGGCACACGACACGCGCATGATTTGCACATGACAAACACATTACACTCACAGCACGCAGATGGCCAATACATGACACACACATGTCGAACACATGACAGACACATGGCACATGACGTGCACATGGCACAGACATGATGGTCTTGACCAGTCCAGACTGGAGCAGACTGCTATTGACCTAATTCTACCAGAGCAGACTAGTCTTGACTGGACCAGAGCAGTATCAACCGGAACAGACTGGTCCAGACTGGTCTTGACCAGTCCAGACTGGACCAGACCTGTCTCGACCAGACCAGGATGGTCTAAACAGGACCAGATCGGTATTGACCAGACCAGACTAGTCAAGACCAGACCAGACTGGTTCAGACCAGAGCAGATTGGCCTCAACTGGAACAGACTGGTTCAGACCGGACCAGACGAGCCTCAACCGGAACAGACGGGTCTCAATCAGAACAGACCGGTCCAGACCAGTGTCAACCTAAACAGACCGGTTCAGACCGGACAAGTCTGGTCTCAACCAGAACAGACCAGTCCAGACCGAACTTGACCAGTCCAGACCGGAATAGACCGGTCCCAACCAGACCAGACTGGTCCAGACCGGTCTTAACC